ACAAAAAGAAAAATAATCGGACAAAAAGCAAAACGGACAAAAAGCAACGGACAAAAAGCAAAAGTGTCGGACAAAAAGCAAAATTATCGGACAAAAAGCAAAAGCGGACATAAAGCAAATTGCGGACAAAAAGCACCGTATCATGCGTCTTTATAATGACACTGATGCCTTTGGTGCAATCTATATTTTTTCGGTAGGACGTCATATTTTGAGTGACCATGCAAAAGTCTTGTTGATTTAGTATAGATTATATTAATGAAAAAGAAGTGTATTCATGCCAATGACATGAAAATTATGAAACGAATCAATTGAGAAAAACTAACGGCCTAATTCATAACAAAACAGTTAACAAACAAAAAAAAACAAATATGACAGACATGAACTAACGACAAAGTATGAACATTTAATTTATGCTAACAGCAGTCACTGATGTTAGGTGTCAACATAGGTTCACCAGATGACTTAAAAAAAAGAAAAATAAAATTCTATTTTTTTAACAAAATGCCCCCTTAAACTGTAAAATACGATTCTTTTGGGGTATTTATAAAAGCGGAATTTGAAATAATATTTCACTATAAGCAGTCAGTTTGACACTTATTTGTCAGAATAAGCTCAAAAACATCGCTGATGTATTATTGACTTGCAAGTCAATAATTTTAACATCATTGAATTTGTAGTCACGTAACATTTAAGATTCTACTAGCTAGAGATCAGTTTCGCATAAAATAGGCCTGTTCCACAGTTGTTTTTCATTCGTTTGATGTGTTTGAGCTATTTTTATGACTTTCCGTTTTGAATTTCACTTGGAGTTCGGTATTTTTGTTATTTTACTTTCAGCTATTAACATATATTAACATAGAAAGTGAAACAAGGGTGAACAATTTTGTTGACTGGTTCGATCCACAAAAAATCATTTTTATACAGGTAAAAACGATGATCAACATATTTTTTCAACCTATAATATGAAATCAAACAAAGCTAGTAAATCCAATTCCATGTGCTGGTTATCTTTTTATATTTATATAAAGATAAGGAGATGTGGTATGATTGCCAATGAGACAACTATCCACCAAAGTTCAAATGAAGTGGATGTAAGCAATTATAGGCAACCGTACGGCCTTTAACAATGAGAAAAACCCATACCGTATGGTCGGCTATAAAAGGCCCGACATGAAAAAATAAGAAACAATTCAATTGCGAAAACTAACGGCATAATTTATAACAAAACAATTTACGAAAAACAAATATGACAGCCATAAACCAACGACAACCACTGAACTACAGGCTCCTGACTGAATGTGGCGGGGTTAAACATGTTTGTGAGCGATCAATCCTCCGTCTAACTTTGGACAGTGGCGTAACAGTACAGCATAAGAACAAACTATAAAAATCAGTTGAAAAAGGCTTAACTCATCAGATGGGTACAAATAGAAATACAACTTACAAAAACACAGAGTGGACGTAGACGGGTACCTATACATCCCAAAAACAAAAAGACACTAAGTACAGATCTGAGAGAACTCGCAGTTACTGACAGCTAGTTCAAAGCCAATAACAACTAATGAAAAAATCATGTATCTAAGACTAAAATATCAATCAGTTCACATCCAGCATCCAATGGATTTAGTGTAGTAAAGACGTCATTAACAGTCAGAGAAAAACATGACTTTGTGCAATGCCAAACTATAAGTAACGACAGATTGTAGTACCGTGAAAGTACATATGTGTAATATTTAGTATGGTTTTAATTTACTGAGAACAAAATCAATATTTATACCAATAAAAACAATATTCAAAGATTTAATTACAGTCTTGGATAGGTAACCTTTAAGAATAAGTTTATTCAAAGGATTGATAAGTTTGCCTGGATCGTATCTAAATTTCCGGGCTCGGTTTACAACATCACCGTAAAATTCAGGATGTACTATTCCGTTTGAAATACGTTTTCTACAGGTACAGCCAAACTTGCAGACCAAATCTTTGTATCTATGAAAGAAATTAGTAAAGGTTTTAAGTAATTTGTGGTAGCGAAATCCCTGACTTAATAATTTACTAGTAATACATAGATTACGCTCATTAAAATCCAAAACGTCACTTCAGACACGAGCATAGCGAACGAGTTGGGATATATAAACACCGTATGACGGTGCAAAAGGAACATCACCGTCCTAAAAGGGAAAATTAACAATAGGGAAAGAAAAATCATCCCTTTTGTCGTAAATTTTTGTATAGAGTTTCTGGTGTAATACTGAAATATCTAAATCTAGGAAAGGACAGTTTTTGCTGTTGATATTAGATTTATTTAATGTAAGTTCCTTTGGGTAAATTTCAGCAGTATATTTAGAGAATTCTTGATTATTTAACGAAAAATATGTTTATATGTTTACTTACATCACAAGAGGATTTAATCATTATATTTGGTGCTCCCAGTTCCAAAAGAAAAAGAAAATTAACGGAACAAATTTTACCTCATCAGTTGCGCATTTCGACAATACATGTCTCTTCAGTGATACTCGAGGTGAAACTATTTGAAAATTCATAAATTATCAAAAATGATGAGCTTTTAAAACGAACAGGACAAAATCATAGCCAAAGCCAATCAAAAACCACTATGAAAATTGCATTTAAGGAACACATAATACGTAAGATCTCATAATATAATTCATATCCAGAAACATTTGTGCTACTGAGTGTATGTTATTACGCACCTCTGTCGTGTACAAAGAGACATTTTTATATCATATTGTTTTTTATGTTTATCTATATGTCATTTTATTAAAAGTTTATATGAACATTTGTCTTTACAAATCATTACGTCACATGGTAATTTAGTGCAGTGTGACCAGGATTTGTTTTTAAATTTTAACTAATGTGAGCTGCGTAGGACGGAGGAAAACAACCAAGCGAAAACGAATAAAGGTAAGTGCCATTTAGTTCATTTTTAGTTGTTTCAAAAATATAACTACCCCAATGACAGGTTTATCAAAAGTAATGGGGACAGTAGGTATAGTTCCAATGATTTCCCCTGATGACGAAACGCCATCGAAATATAAAAAGAATGAATAAGGAGTATTGAAAAATACTCAGTATTGATAAATATCTATCAGGGTAGAGTAAATTGAATCGCCTACCACCCGAGCTTTACGAATGTAAGATATTATTGAATGATCAGGTAAATATTACATAACCAGAAGTAAAAGTCGAATGAGCTGCTTAAATCACCGACAGCTATGGTTTCATTTTACTTCGAAAACACGCCAACAACCCGTGTAAATATACGTCGAACGCTTATCAACATTAGCAGATAGCATACATCGGTCAACCCGGCGGTTTTCAGGCCGTTGCACATCAGCTCGTAGGGACTTTATTTTTATTTTATTATTTTGTCGCATGATTATCTGAAAATAAAAGCAATGAGATCAAATCCAATTACTCTGCAAGCTACAGTAACAGCATTGCCTTGTTATGTTCAAAATCTTAAATAGTGGTGGGCTAATTTTTTACTTTATTTCAACGGAATATCAGTGATGATCCTAGAGAAAAGGTCAAAGCTGGATGAAGTTTTTTTCTTTAGAGGTATGTTTTTCGGGTTGCGGCTGTTGGTTGAATGAAAATTTGCTCCATCAATTTTTTCCATATATCATTTTAGATACACATTTACATATTAACTATCTCGAATAACTATCAATGATGTTATGCTTAAAGCTGTACATTTTCTGTAGGCACAAAACTTAAGAAGAAAGAGAATTGTGCTATAACACTATCTCATTTACTGTAATTAACATTGGTAAGTCCATCAATACTTTTACTGCGTTGTCTAATAGAAATTTGCTATATTGCTGCTATAAATGAATTTGAGATTCGTGCTGTTATTGAAAACAGGTTTCCTCATTATGTTGAGCGCATCTATCTCATCGAACTTGAGATAATGGATACATCAGATACAGTTTATTCTGTCTCATATCTTGACTTACATCTAGAAATTAACAAGAATGGTCGGTTGAAAACAAAACTTTATGATAAATAAAGGCAAAAGTAGTATACCGCTGTTCGAAATTCATAAATCGATAGAGATAAAAACAAATCCGGGTTACAAACTAAAACTGAGGGAAACGCATAAAATATAAGAGGAGAACAACGACACAACAAAAACACAACATTAAAATGTAACACACACAGAAACGAACTATAATATAACAATGGCCATTTTCCTGACTTGGTACAGGACAATAGATGATTTTAGCTTCCCAATTGTGAACTTTCCATTCCTATGTAGCAACATTCCAGCAGCGCCTGCATACGGAATATATATATCTTCCAGTTGATACGATTTTCCAGGGCTTGTATTTCTTATCATGTTATATAAGTCATACTATTTTTCAAGCTATATGTCGTGCAAAACTACCCAAATTTGCATAGATTGTTCAAGAAAATACACATTTCTTTGCAAATAAAAAAAAAAGTCTGAGAGATAGAATTTTGAAATAAAATATGCTTTAAATAAACTGGTGTCACTGACTTTGTTTTCTTGCTACAAGTAAAAATTATAAAATTTCTCTATCATTCCTTTATAAAAATTTTATTATTTGAGTTGTCTCCCCTTAAATTGGTAAGTTGACAATTTGATTCGAACAAACACAAATATTTGGTATTTGATAAATCAGTCTGAATAATGCAATAAAACATTTACTTTGTCTTTATTTCATTAAACAGCCTTACCCATTAATTGCCAACCTGTCTCAAAATTTGCAGATTTAAGCAAAGAACAAGACCACTTGTGAACTGCTATTTAGCAATCCAAGATGATGATATACAGTTAATCCACCTTCAGTATGTTTATGAGAATTTAGTGTTTTTCTTGATTAAGCAATTAAGGTAAAATTCTTGATAAAATTGTTTTAAAGATGATTTAGTGGATGCCATACGGATAATGTACAGTGTTAACCAATTGATGACTAAAGTTTACACGGAGTACACGTGGTAAAATACAACATACTTACATGTTTGTACCATTGATTTAATCCATTCGTTTTCATTTGAATTGTCTATCTTCACTAATTTCCCATTCATTGCTTCACAAAAATTCTGATTAGAAAAAAATTACCATAGTTTATGATCATGAATTCGATTTAAAGATATATTTTTGTTTGTTTCAAACATTTACAGAAGCGGAATAAAGAAATAACATTCCGCTATTAGCAGTCAAGCTAGTTCACTTTAGTCAAAGAACCGTCACACTGGTGTATTATTGAGTCAACCTCACCATAAAACTGTTTATATATAGAGTAAGAGCCGATGACGTTTTTATAATGTTTATATAATTTGTCCCAAATGTAGTGCACTACACTGTAGAAATCATATTAAGAAAATACAGGTGGATTTTGTTTTTGCATTTATTGATCTAACAAAATGTACTACAAATTGATTGTGCATAGTTATCGGCCGCCTGAGAAATTCATTCTGTTCCATGTCAAGAAAAGATAACTTTTGACATTAAGAAGCGTATGGTTTGTTTTCAATCCCGAAAATTCGAAATCCCCCTAAATTTCAAAACATTTTCCCGTGTAAAACAGGTAAAGGGGTGTGCATGTTATTACCTACTCTCCTTTTAAGGTACTGAATGTTTTTATGGTTCAGTTGTTTTGTGTTTCGTATTAATCTGATTGGTCTAGTCATTTTCAATTGTGTTCTATTGTTTGTTCCATTAATGTGGCAAATTTGATAAAGCAGAAAAATACCAAAAGAAGTAAATATCTGTTTTTTCTATGTCAATCCTAAAAAGTATTTTGTACCTTTGAAATACAACACAATCATAAATGGCTCTCATTTCTGCTTTCTGTTATAAATGTGCAGTTTGGGGTGGAGGGGTGGTTCAAATGGGAGAATTTGTTGGCAGTGCCAGTTTGTTACTAATTTTCATTTTGTTGCAGTATTCAGCCAATTGCTGTTATCACTTTATCTAGCATGCTGTAGTAGCGCGCACTTTTTTTTACTCTGCTTTAGAAATTATATTTTGATTTGTTCCTTGTTCAAGTCAGTGGTCATACTTTTGGTAGCAGCACTGTGCACACAGATATATTATTATATGCTTCAGTTTTTTTACGATATATAGTAAAGTGAGACTAAAGGGGCGTTGGTGTGCACTTTAAACTGGTTTTACTCCGCAATTTGTATGCCAAGTCATGCTATCTGGACCATGTGCTCTATGTTAATGTTTGACTGTGTTTGTCTCTCTGGTTTTTTTTTATTTCGACGGAGTCGTGTATTGGTGGTTATATGATGCCCTATATAGATCTGTTTTTTTTTAAAGATGATCCTTTAAAGAAAAAAAATCTTCAAATCAAACCCCTGAAGTTTCAAACATTTCGCTTTGTAGTTAAATTTCATAGGGTGAAATTAAAAAAAAATATATGGTTAATTGGAATAAAAAAATACCCCTAGCGACTATTTTTTTCATCTGATGAGCACGACATGAGGATTATTGTACTAAATCTACCATACATCATTCCAACTTAACAATTTGAAGCAAATGTGATTTTCCATAGAGTTTTGGTGATAACATTGTGTTACCAATGCCGCATTTTTTGCCATCCAAACAAAATGTTAAGATCCAATCAGTGACATGAAGAAAAACAATCAAAACCTTCGATATATTATTCCTGATAAGTTTGATTGAAAAAGCCTGTTTTGGTTTTAGAGGAGGTGATGTTAATTTAAATTAACGAAGGACGCAAAGTGATGCCAGCAGCCAAATTAACTATATGGACTAGTCATGATTAAACAAAACATGTAACTCTATAATTCTTATATGATTTGCATATCTACAGATATTTGAATTTGATTGGTCCGTTAGCATTTTTTCCCTTGGTTTACACTTCAATAGACTATGTTGCCGAAACTATTTTCGTAATCTTCATTGTGATTTATTCATGCGCGATACAGATGCATGGGATTAAGGGGTTCAAGCAAATTGAGATTGAAAAATTAAATACATTACTGTCATTTCTATTCTAATGAATAATAAAAAGAAATAATACATTAAAGCTTGGAAAATGTATAAATTTACAATAAAATAAAATTCGCAAAATTTCATGAATGAGCTTGGCGCATTAGCGTCATGGGAAAACTTGACGTCATACGAATGAAAACTCTCAAGATGAAGATTATTCCGTTTCATGTACGCTTCAAATTTATATGATATGTCATTGAAATGAAGTTTTTGAGGTAGGTGTTATTTCATTTTAGATTCTATTGCATTAATCGAACATTAATGGATTTCAGAAAGTCAATATGGCGGCTTACTCCTTAGTTACGAAATGTCAATTGTGCATTTGATAGTAAATAGTAACCAATGTACCTAAAATTGTAAATCAAAAATTGCAAATGTTTGGGTTAAGAATTATAAGGATTAAACACATTTTTTCTAGAGGTTATTGATGTGTAAGTTGGGTCGCTGACTCACAAACTTTACATAAAAGTCCTCTAGAAAAAAATGTGTTTAATCCTATAGTAAGTAGTTATTAGTAAGATATTATGAAATAATGAAGTTACCTGAGCGTCATTCATTGACAGGGAATTCGTCCCAAAATAATAACAATTGGTTTTGAAAGCCTTCCAAGGATCAATGCACTCAACATCTGCAAAGAAAAAATATATGATTTTGTTGATAAATGCTATACATAATTTAGATGATTAATCATTTCTTTCTAAGTATACGTTTTTTATATAAACAAATATTTTTACTGAATTTCAAAAAAAGAAATATCTGAATCCATATCGCCACTAAAATGTGGAAAAGTATGTCGATTAGGTGAATTCAAGCTAAACTTTTGAGTGCAGGTTCCATAGAATTCAACTCTCTTCTGCTAAGACTCTAAAAAAATGAAAACAACACGTTGTGAATTAGGAACACTCAAAGCCGAACATTTGAAAGTCAAGGATGTATAAGAACCAAAACATCAACAATTTTTTATTTCATATTTGTTGAAAAAAAACCGACTGATATAGAAAATAAGGCAATGATAAATAGATAGGTCGGACTATAATTTGTTTGTTTTGTAGATCTTAAGGAAGCATTTTGCACAGTTATACATGTACACTTTTTTTATTCGAGCGCCATTGATGAGTCTTGTTAAAGAAACATGCGTCTGGCGTACAACATTATGAGCCTAGTAAATCTTTGAAGAGTTTTTGTTCACAGTTAAAATTAATGAATCCATATTTTCAGATCTTTTATAGGAGTTAGACAACGCAACCGATGTAAGAAGCCCCAACATTTTTAAGTTATTATAATGATCTGCCAGAAACATTTGATTTATGTTGACCCTGCTGATCTGACGATTAACAGAATTCGTTGTCTTTTGCATGCAGATGACGAAGGTATTTTTCTCAGAAACATATATAAGGCGGTTTAAAATAAAGAATGAATAGGTTACAATTTTATTTCTCAAAACGGTGTTTACGTTTAAACTTGAAACAAAAGTTTTATTGTTCTAATGAATATTTGTACAAATATGAAATGCCATATCTTTTGCTATCTGTATTGGAAAATTACTCGTCTAAGCAAAAATGGTACCTAAAATTGCCTTCAGTCATTGGCTAATTAAACTAGGAGGTAAGTCATTAATTAAATGTGCATGCAAAAACTCTCTCTTTTGAATGGGCACTATATTTTGGAAGAGAAGATATTTGTATTTGTATGTGTATCAATTCAGAGTACAACCAGAGTGTTATAACTCTTCAAATGTCAGACAAAAACAAAAGATTATCACAATCTTTTATTGTAACATTACAAAATCCAACTGGATTCAATTAGAATTTTAACACTTGATTCTCTTGAAATACTTACTTTCTTTTGCTCAGTTTTAACAGTTCAACATAGGACTGTGTCATTTTGTATATTCTTTTTCAAAGCTTTTGACTACATAAATGTGTAAACCAGTCAAGTTTTAATAATAATGAAAGCGGTTTGATGAGGGTCAGTTTTTTTTATTTAAAGAATATATATATTTGTCTATGTTAGGTCCAGTCAGTTATTATAAATGAGATAAAAATAAAATACCCAGAACCCACTATATGGTCCCAGCTGTTTATCAACTGCCATTTTATGTAAATAGTGTAAACTACTCAAACGAAAAGCAAGAAGGATAAAGAAATAAAACAAACCTGTTTTTCCAATATTTAAAACAGAGCTTGTCTGTGAAGCTTTTATTTCGGGACACACATCTGTTACATAAAGGTAGCACTTTTGTGCTGAGTTGTCAAAACTTGAAGTCCGGCATCCTTCCTCGATTGCACATTGACATGCACATTCAATTATACTTCTTGAAACGTAGAATATAAGACTGCTGATCCCAACAATGTTGTAACCTTTGTTTGAATAAAATACGTTAGTATTACTACGTCCAGCAATGTGTTTAAATGACAGAATAGCAGTTATGATGAAAACAGTAAATTTCAGTCTCATTTTTGAGTGTTTTGTAGAATTAATAGTTCAATAATGGAATAACGAAAAACATGTATACACATAGAAGATTCACAATATATGCAAAGGATTAATCATCGTATTAAAACACATTATAAATTAGTATTTATACCATTGGTTGTTTGAAAATCAATGTATCCACTATTCTTCAATAAAATCAATTTTAATACTTTATATTTTTGTGTGTTTATTAATTATAAGTTTTGATAATATAATGCTTTCTTTTTATAGCTTAAAACTTATTTTAGTCTAATATATTTATGCAGACACTTTATAATACAATCATATACAAAACCATATATTTTTAGAACATGTAAGAAATATCGAATGTCTTAATTTTTGTAGACATAATTTAAACAGTAATAAAACAAGTCTTAATATTTAATATATATATATAAATATATACAAGTCTGAAATTAAACCATGCAGTATTAGAATTAAATTTTTATACTGACAAACGTTTTTCCCTCAACGGGATTTGAACTCACACCTTTAGTATATATATATTGCGTTCTGTTGTGGTCTGTTGTATTTTTCGTAATTACTATCATCGTTTTTATGTATTTTTGAAACTTATGAGCTATTTGTAAGTATTTATTTTGAGTTGACTACGACAATTTTTGAAAGCACATGAAACCGAAGCAAAAAGTCCCGAAAGGACATCTTAACTCATAAAACAAAAGCAAACTGACACCGCAATGGCAAAAAAGCAACAAACGAATAAAAGACACACAACAGTGTACAAACCACAACATAGAAAACTAAAGACTGAACAACAAGAACCCCATTTCATGTGCTCTGGAAGAGTAAACACAACCTGCTTCACACGTCGTTTTGCTCATATAAGTACAAATAAGACTCAATCGGTAGGTCAAAGGAGGAAAGGAGGACGGGATCCTTGTTGTCATTTCTTTGTAATTCAAGGACAAACATTTCCGCCATAAATAGACGAAAATATTGTATAATCAACAACTAAACCATGATTAAGAAAAAAATGATCAGAGACCTTCAATCGTGTTCTCCCGCTTTGCTATAACTATGCATGCGAGTATTACTTTCTAGTATTTACACTAGTTTATATGTAGAATTTCCTCTCCTAAACTGTATTTTTGTCTTAATCCTTTCATCTTAAATCCACAATAACGTTGACCTCCGGTAATATTCCCTTACCTCCTCCAATCCATGTCAACATTATACACTTGTTTACTTGTTTACTCTGGAACATGGTTCCTTTGTAACACCGATTTAAGCGAAAACCTCCATCGCGATATATTTTAGAGTGCGTTCCTTCAAACACTTGTCAAAAACAAGAAAATCAAAGAAGCCCCATCATTTATTTTCACATTCAGATAAATTGATGATGCTCTTTCCATTAACAATCCAAACTTTTCTGATTGGGTTCCATTAATATATCCTCCAGGACTAGAAACTAAGAAACAAAAGACACGGCTCCCTCCGCCTCATTTTTAAACTTATACCTCGAATTTGACATAAGCGGTAATCTCAATACCAGAATCTATGACAAGCGAGACGATTTAATTTTGAAATTATAAATTTTCCCCACCTTAGCAGTAATAAACCAACTTCACCTGCATATGGGATATACATTTCCCAACTCAGTCGTTATTCAAGAGCTTGCAGCTGCTACTCAGACTTTATAAAACGTCACTAGTGTCTGAGTAGAAAGTTGATGAGCCAAGGTAATGTCAAAGAACGTCTCGTCCTTTTTCTTAAAAAGTTCATTGGAAATACCAAGACCTTGTTAATAAATATTCCATATCAACTTCACAAATAATGAATGATGGTCATGAAGTATAGATTCTAGGTAGTGACGTTGTTTATGATCTTAATAACGTGTTAAAGTTTCCCCTTTTTTGTCCTTGTATATTTTTAACCCTTACTGTTTAGTCCATTTTTGATTATACTCATGACGTGGCTCGGTACTTATACATCCCGCCATTTTGTTATTGTGCTATGGTCAATTATGAATTCTTGTCTTCCATTTTTGCTTTTGTACTTTGTCTATATGCCATTTTGTGTGTCTTTGTTGAATTAATTATTTGTTTTTTTTTATAGTGATTAAGATTAAATTACAATGTTGACCCAATTTTTAATGTTTTTACCTATTATGTCTGTTTGTTTTGCTCACACATTGTTGTCAATATAATGGAATTCAATGCGACTGTCATACAAGTGAGAGGTTTAGTAAGCTATAAAACCAGGTATAATCCACCATTTTCTACATAAGGAAATGCCTGTACCAAGTCAGGAATATGACAGTTGTTTTCCATCCGTTAGATGTGTTTGAGCTTTTAATTTTGCCATTTTATTAAAGACTTTCTGTTTTGAATTTCCCTTGGAGTTCGGTATTTTTGTTTTTCTAATTTTTTCGTAACATTTAAGCAAAGAGTTACAAGTGATAAAGTTGAAGTTATGCATCAGAGATTTACGGACTTCATGACGAGTTGAATGACTGTTATGGACTATTTATTTCAAAGATGACGATGAATGTGTTAACATAACCACATTCCAAAAAATTTTAAGCATCGAATTGGTTTTTACATGAGCAACTACGGTTGCGACATGTAGAGCATAATCTGCTTACATGAGCACCTAAAATCACCGCCGGTTTTTAATGGGGTTTGTGTTGTTCAGTCTTTATTTTTCTATGTCGTAATTTGTAGAATGTTATTTGTCTATTTGTTGTTTACATTTTTTATAATATGGAAAATCATGCCTATTAGGAATCAACCCGTTTATTGGTAGTATTCTATGAGGGAAACTTATTCGAAACGTTTTGCCTTGGGCATTACTAAAGAGACATTTATTGTCGAAATGCGCATCTGGTGTAGAAACATTGGTACCGTTAATGTTATTTGATATCATATTTGGTAACATTCCAGCCTGATTATAATTTTCTGCATAATTTTGTGCAGACTATGTAGGCATTTTCAGTAACGTCTTTCATAGTCATGAATGAACATATTTAATATGAAAACTTAATGATGAACTACAGAGATATCCGCGGTAAATACCAAATGTCAAAATACGACTCCATTGTTGAATTTTAAAAAACAACTTTAAATGAAAGACCTTCGCCAAATGTCTTCAGTAAAAGAGAGGCGAAAGATACCAGAGAGACATTCAAACTCATAATATGAATAGCAGCAAGCCAAATAGGGCCCAAAAATGACTAGTGTAAAACAATTCAAACAGGAAACCCAACGATCTAATCGATATAAAAAACAGGAAACGAGCGCTCGAGAAACACTTATGAACCACACAAACAAACAACAACCACTGAACAGTCATAAGTCTAAATTAAACTGACAACGCCATGGCTAAAAAAGAAAAAGACAAACAAACAAACAATAGTACACAAAACGCAACATAGAAAACTAAAGACTGAGCAACACGAACCCCACCAACAACTGGGGGTGATCTCAGGTGATCCGGACGGGTAAGCAGATCCTGCTCCACATGTGGCACCCGTCGTGTTGCTCATGTTAGTACAAACCCGGTAATAAGTCAAATTCGGTAGATCGCATTCGGGAAAAGGGGTACGGGATTGTACTTACGACATTAGGAACATATTTGCTATTATAAGTGAAACGGATATTCCATAACGGTCAACCAACTCGTGATTGCGACCCTAAAACTTACGAAGGGATGATTTCAACTTCACCACTTGGAACTCTTAGTTTAATAGCTTCCTTGTGAAAACAACACTCTATCAAGGAAATCATGATAGGAAATATAATGTTAAACATCACTCCGTTATTCCAACATGCAAAATAAGCTCCTCATTAGTTGGGCAATATTATTGGTAATTGTAATGTAGAAACTGTCAATATATGATGCTTTAACTTGCATATATCGACAGAACATATATGCCATCAAGATATATTGTATCACGGTGTTACCATGAAATACAGATATTGTTTTGTTGAAATTTGACGTTACAAAATTTAAGAAATCCTATCGAATTTAGGAGTTTATACCCTTCATGCTAAACTCTTAAATGGAAAACCTTGGTTCGGCTATCATGCAGATGTAAGTAACGTTCGGTCATATCAGCTACAAGGTTTTGAATTTTCAACTTTTTTTGCCTCGAGCTTCAAAGAAACATTAATTATCGACATGCGCATCTTCTGCAGTAATATTTTGTTCCGTTTAATGTAAATGTTCTTATCTTCTTGGAATTCTAACCACAAAATGATAGTGTGTTGATTAAGTGGTAATCTAAGACATTTAGGCAATACTAGTTTCTCTCAAATATCATTAATCATTAATGAAGATAGTAAGATAAAAATCAAGATAACAAACAAAAATTCAGGGAATATCATGAACTCTACAGGTTGCAAGACCGGGTGAAAGTTGAAAGAACGGAAGACAGGATCAAATGTTCAATTTAACTAACATTCTATATTTCTACATTCTAACATTCTTCATCAGAAACAATCAGATGCAAACATTTCAAAAGTTTAAATGTATACATATACAACTATTTCTACTACTGTAAAATTGTGATGTTTTTATTGTTTCGAAAATTGCGTCGGAATATGTTTGCAAAAACAAACATCTCACATTTAAAATTTCGAAAGCACTGTTTTTATGCAGTATTTCCTGAAATCGCAATAATAATATCGCATTGATAATCAAAATGATAAATACACGGATAATTTCTGAATTTACAATATTCATGCATATAAAATGTTCCATTGTCTCTGAAAAATCAAATACTTTATCTATTAACTTTATATATAATTAATAAACATTGCAAATTTTGATTTTTGGGAATTACAGCAACAACATGACAGTAAAGCGCACAAAGTTTTGATTTTTTGATTTGCGAATATAGAAAATAAAAGATGCCAACCGTCAACCAAATATTCATTTCCACAGTTTCTCAATTTATCTTTATCTACATGT